TATATATATATATATATAGTAACTGTCCGTCCGACAGTGGTCTGTCCGTCAGTCGGGCCCTTCTTTCGACAGGTCAGGCTGTCGGTCCGTCCTTCCACTTAGTCGCTCGGTTAGTCCTTCCTTACAAAAGTCAGTCGGTCCGTTCTTCCTTCCACAGTTAGTCTGTCCTGTTGTGCCGGAGTCCCAGATTTAAACATAGTGGCACTTCAAGGTCACGAGCTGAACGGAGAGAGTGACACTTGTCATCCAATCGGAAGCTTCGTTACTACTTAAGGTTTTGATACTGGACCTCCCAAATGAAAGACTGTTCCTCTCACGTTCCAACTCGTGACCTGTAAGTGCCACCATGTTTTAATCATACCGAACGCCGTTGTGACTTTGGATTTTTCATATTTTTTTTCGTTTTCTTTCAAAATGTATCTTCATTTTTGCCATTACGACATACTCATTTAATAAGTCAGTCGAAAATATCTGGGTCATTTCCCACTCCCCTAGACTACTCTGGAAGACCCGAATTCTATTTTTTTATTATTATTTTATTTAACACCCAATTCAATTAAAAACTCTGTGACATACTATGGTGAGAAATGCAATATATGCACAGTTTCTGTTAAATGATAATGAATGAAATTGTTAAAGTATTATTAATATTGTTATAGTATATCTCTATATACACTGGGTATGAATTAAATAAAAGTTTTTCATATGAGCAGTAATTTAATGTTAAGATACACACTAGAACACGTTGCTACAGAAATTAAACTAAACGGCTCCTCTGAAGACCTCCCTGCTACTCCAGCCCCTAAATTCTTTATCCTTGCACATACATCTTGTATTTAATTCATAATTTATGTGAGTATGGTTCCTATGTACCTCTCAGCCTTAATTGTGAATGGAATATTCCAGTACAGGCTAAGGCCCAGATGTTAACTTATTCTATGTATCACCTTAAACACAAGATCTCGAAATGCCCATTAGGACTTGATCTCCTGCTCTGATATAATACACTTCATTCAGCAGTAAATACCACATGATTTATTCATGAAGTTTTTACTGCTTATGTAGGCTTAGATAAGCTCTAATTGGCATTCTTTTACCATTAGAAGAAAATTAAGCACATTCTTTTAGGAACAATGAAGAGGTTGCAACTGCTATTCCTGTAAGAAGCTGAAACACTATTGTTCCACATAATGAGATTTTTAACAACTTTTCAATATTTTCATCAAAACAATATCTCATGAATAATACAGAATCGTGTATATCTATTACAACACCTCCTACTGTTATGCATTACATAAATACCATTATAATAATATATTTTAGTCAATCTAAGGAATCCTAGCACATAGATCTATATGTCCTCTCTCTTGAGATTATTTAATTGTATCCAGTGGGTTTTTTTATAATATACATTCAGTACATTTGGTGAAGATATTTCTGTTATTAACATTGGTTCACATGTATCTTTTCACCTTTGAACAATTGGCCTTGCACAGGAAACAAGTTTCTCATCTGTTTCTTGTGAAGAATGATATATGGAAACCTGTCATTCAAAAGTTTAAACTTGCTGAATAAAATTTAAGGCTTTCAGGGAAAAGGGCACAGAGTTCAACCTGCCCTTTTTTCTATAAACCACAATTATATTATTACACAAATTTGAACAAAAGAGTAATGGTAAGAGAAGATTTTCAACAATGAAAAATTTAAAGAAGAAATTATAAAGCATTAAAATGCCATTGGGGAAATATATGTAATTTAAAGGAATCAGTACAACTAATCCATCTTAACTGCAATGATGTTATTGTAAGATCCTTAGTTCTTTTAATGAATACACACATTTTGGAGGTATTGAACTAAGGGTCAGGAACACTGATTACTGGATAGAGGATGAGAAAACCGTTCCAAGTCACAAACAACATCCAACTTAAAATCTGTCTCTTCTAGCATGTTATATAGCTAGCTTCTAGCCCGTATATATGTATATTTACATCAGAATATATGGTAATGTCATATAATGTAATACCAAAGCTATGTGACTTGTTATATTTTTTGTGACAAATAAATTTTATAACATTACTATATGTACATTTACAAATAATGTAATATTTAATATTGGGTAATGTAAAATATACTATAGGGGAATTGGTAATAAGAACAAGAATACAATTAAATACTAATTCTTTTACATAGTGTATAAAAGGAAGAGAATTTGAATAAAGATAATTAAATAACTGTATGTTCAAACGAAAGCTTTATCTATGTAAGAATTATTGTAGAATAATGTATTGCTAAAGGATATTGACTTGTCATACATAGTTTGAAACAATTCTCATTAACAAGAAAGGTAAGACCTATCCAAGCTACCTCAACACAAATATCATTACAAAGTGTTATGAATATTAAACAAGATGCATCTTGACAGTGTCCCAAAATGTTTCTCAGCATATGCTTACATTTTTAAATAAAACCCTTGAAGACTTCGGCTTTAATGTATTCCTTATCCAGAACAAGAGAGCACTAGTTGATAAGTTCGCAATGTCAGACTGCTTGATCGATCTCTGTAGGATGAATGCCAAAAATTAATACAAAATGTAAATATTTTCACAGAAATATTACAATATGCTGAGTAGAGATTTTCATTATTATTTACCTTACCTATTAAAAAGATAAACACATTGTGAGTTAAAATCAACATTGTATTATCTGGCATTTATGCATTATTTTATTGGTAGTCTTTTTCAAAGATTGCCAAAGCATCCATCGCAAGTTACTAGTGGCTCGCAAGGAAATTTTCAGTAGTACACAGTGTCAAGCTCAATTAGGTTAACCTAGGAGCAACCTTGCTCCACTGAGCACAGAGAGATGACTCAAGAAAACAGCTGGTTGCATAAGAAGTTCTTATTTTTCTTTATTTCTTTTGGCAGTTCACAGGGGAATTTAAAAACTGTTCAATTGCACAGAAGCTTTGTAAGTTTGGCCACCACTGATCTAGTTCATAGCAATTTATACTGAAGAAAAAGTGTACCTAGACCTTTTTTTTATTTATCTCATAACAATTGTTTTGAAATAAATCTTACAGTATACATAAGTAACAGTGAAAACAGTACAAAATATGTTATTATTATACAGAAAGAGACAAATGGCATAAATCACAACTTAAATTATTCAAATACCAAAACTTTGAATGCCATTTTCTCACATCTGGCATTTTCACTTGTGCTCTTTTTCCAAAGTTTGTCTCAATTTTACACCACTTGAGAAATTAATTTTTACACCTTAACTTTTTAAGAGAAAAAAATAAAAAAGATAACAATGGTAAGAAGATGGAAAAGTAGCTAGAGCAAAAGGCAAGTACACATTTGTGAGTTAGACAGTGACAATCTAATTATGTAAAAAGACCAAAAAAAATAAGGTTAATAGAGAGAGCTGAAAAACAGTAAAGTCCCTTCAAGTTTTAAGCATACTTTACTACAATATTCTTTCATTTGGCAATTACTATAAGAGCAAAAGTAATGTAACATTTGAGTCGATCAAAACTGAAAGGAATAGCATCATTATCACAGATGCCATCAATTTCATCCAGTGAAAATGTTTTTATCAGTGGCTAATTCCTGTCAACAGGTGTGACATTTTCAAACTAATACTTGTCAACAAATAATTTTATTCTTGTCTACTTCATTGTTAGTAAGTAAGAAATAATGTCATGACAATCGCATAGGAGAGAGGAGCTAAACACAAGGTGTCAGTACATATAATACCAAAGGTTTTTTTATGTTTTTATACGCATTTTCTCAAAGAGAAAAGCGAATATCATCTACTTATTTCATGACATATTCAAAACTATTTGCACATGTAACTAGACCCAACCAGCAAAACAGTACACTAATAATTATTAGATTTTGAATGAAAAATATGTCTCCCCCCAATTAACTAACATTTGTTTTAGGCTAGTTGTATTCTGGTCTGAAATAAAAGATTATTAATAGGATTCAATACTAGGGAGCTCGAAATTCATTTACATTAGAACTTAGAAAATAAATAACATAACTTCAAAACAATAACCTAGAAAATTACCGGAGATAACAATATTACTTACGTCCACATTCTTCGCTTCGAACCGGCTTTGATTTGAACGTCTGTTCTAGACAGCTGAAAGATGCACACAGAGAAAGCTTCCATTGTCCAATCAGAAGCCATGGTTCAGCGTTGCCGCTCAGCTGACTCACATGAAGTTTCGGAGACGATAAAGTTCGGTTTCGGCGAAAGTTATGAACATCAAGACGTGGCATCCCCTGTCAGTAAGTGTTAAATTAATGTTTTGAAATTTCATTTATCTATGATGAAGGTGGTAGCATGAGCGTAGTAATGTAAGGCAACAGCGCATTGAACTGTAAGATACTGTACTATTCCGACCTATCAAGCACTGTATGCGATCATGCGATGTCTAGCGGCAGGATCGATAAAGACGCGAAATTCCCTGAGATATTCCATCGTGAAGAGGGGCCTTCGGGCGCCATGTTATAAAAACCGAAGTATATCTTCTCGTTGGCGATTTCCTAGTAATCCAGTGCGGCTGGTGGATTCCGTTGCGTAATGTTCGCCGGTAGTCAGAGAACTTATCTGAGAGAACTCTTCCGGCGCGGTACCCTTGATCGCACTACGGTGAGTGAAATCTTAGTAATGAAATCCAAACTTAGCGTATGTTTATCAAGTCCGTCCTCTGATAATGCAGGATTTGCGAAGAAATGAAGAAATTGTCAGTGATGAACCCGATATTGTGACGAACGCGGGTACTCACGTTCATCACACACGGCACGCAAGAAGAGAACGTCTGCAGTAGAGCGGGCGAGCGATCGCGACGCAATTTAAAAAGGGTGCGGCTGTAGCCTTCGATACTGTTGCGCGCGATGCTCGCAGCACGGCAAAATTCTATACTCTATAAAATTTGGCACGGCGAAGGCTAATGACGTGCAAGTGGTCAGAGTGGAGAATCCCTACAAGGTGGGCGGTCATATATAAATGGGGAGCTGCCGAACATTCATTCTTCTGTTCTCGATCGCTGGCCAAGCAGCAACCTCGACGAGATATTAGATAGGATATTTTAGACGCCAGGGAGGCGCCTAGATAGTCATTCGCGAACCTTCATTAAAAATTTTACCGGAGGAAAGTTTTCATCGAATAGGATGGGAGTATTTAATTCTGATTCCATCACTCACTGTGAGTCAGAGGACAGTAAAGGAGGGATAGTAGTTTTATGCAGTGAAGAAGTAAATTTCAGTCAGAGGCGATAATTAGAACAGTGCTATAATAGCTACGGAGTGCTACGGATACGCCCGAAATACGCATTATTTATTCATTGCGGCGTGCAGGAGACATTCGTACGCGGGTGTGAACGAGACGAGCAAGAAAGAAGCAGACGAGGACGTGAGGTGCCGTGCAAGGAAGACGGAAGACGATGTGGAGGGCAACGCAGCAGGCAGCGAGAAGACGCCGAGACCTTTTCAGCATGGTGCTCCTCCGGTCGGAAGTCTTCAGACTTGGTGCTGGATTCCGTCAGCGGCTGTGACACGAACTTGACGCTCTGGCATCTCGACCTTCACCTCACTTGGTATACAGATTCTAAAGCCCTTAGTCTCCGCACCGTAGCCCACAAAGAAGCCCTATCTGAAGCGCGGTTCGAGCTTACCTCTCCCGGGTGACCTGTCCATGATGAAGACTTCACATCCAAATCGTTTGAAGTTGGGTACATCTGGTGCTCTTCCGAACCAGAGTTCATAGGGTGTCTTCCCGTTTAGTTCACGCCAGGGGCATCGGTTGCGGATGAAGTTTGCCGTGTTAACCGTTTTAGTCCAGAAAGAGAGGAGGGCAGCCCTGACTGGATTAACAAACACCTTGCCGTGTCAATCAGTATCCTATTTTTCCTTTCGGCTACATCGTTCGGCTCCGGATTGTACGGCGCTGTTAGCCTTTGTAAGATGCCGTGCCTCTTCAGAAGTTCGTCGAACTCTCGGTTCTTGTACTCCAGTCCATTATCCGACTGGAAGCACTTTATTTTCTTCCCCTGCTGGGTGTTCATGGCGACCCTGAAGCTGTCAAACTCATTGACAGCTTCGCTTTTACTCTTCGGAAATTTTACTTCACACAAGCGCGAATGGTCGTCAATGAGTGTGGCAAAATATTTGTTCTCCCCATACGATGTAACGCGCATTGGTTCACATACGTCGGAATGAATCAAGTCACCCGCGACCGACGAACGTTCTGTAGCCTTAGGGAACGGAGTTTGGCACATCTTCCCCAGCAGACAAACTCTGCATTCGAGATCTTGGTCGATGTTGTTCACGACGATACCTGGCAGATGTCCATTCTTCACGGCATCATGCAAATCCGGAACGTTCAAATGCTCGAGATGGATGTGCCAGTCTTCAAGGGAATTGCTTTTCGGCTCCTTCCGCACGTCTTCGTCCTCGGCAATCTTAGCGCATTCACCATTCTCTTTTTCACGGAAGAAGTAGAGGTCATTCTCACGCCTCGCGGTGAGCGGCACCTTCCCGTGAACCTCAGCTTTTGTCTTCCGTAAAACTACACGTCCGTAATCTTGCTCACCGACATCAAGTTCGTGCGCAAGTCGGGTCACATAGTGTCTTTTTCAGGTTGATCACCTTCACGCACCCATTCACTTCTGCCCTCGTTGAAACAGAGCCCTTTCCCCTTGTTTGCGTGCACGCTTTGTTGGCCAGGATTAATTTTCCGGGCCCTGTATTGTTGATAGCCTTGAAAGAGCTAATGTCCTTGCACATGTGTGAGGTACACCACTATCGATGCACCATGCGTTCAGGCGCTCGCTGCCGCCGGTACGGAAACTCACCTCCGATGTGTTCCTCGACACTTATAGAGTAGCGTCTTGTACCCTTCTAGCCATGGGACAGAAGGTTAGCTCGATTTCCGATTTCCGAGCACACTAGCACTTCATCCTGGAGTCCCTTTCCGACTTCTCGCCATTCATGCGATTCCTCGACCTGCCTCCCCCGAACTTTCCGGTGACCATCGCGCTTTGACTTGCACTTCTCCTGGCGTCCTCCCGGGAATCGAACTCTTCTCCGATTTTGATTCGCAGGACATCGGGCGTTGGCGAGTCATCGCGTGTTGCGATCGCGCATCGAAAGTTGTCGAAACTGCCGGACAAACTTCGCAGCAGGATTACCGTCAGCACGTTTTGGCTGATGTTCACTTCCATGTCCGACAGCTTGGCCACAACGTCGAAGAATTCACGTGCGAATTCTCGCGCATCGTCGCCATCTTGCATTCTCATAGAGATTAACTGATTCAGGAACGCGGCTTTTCGGGCAGGACCTTTTGACTAGTAGATTCCCTCTAATTTTCTCCACACGGCGCGCAACGTCTCGCATCCCTTAATCTGCTTTATTTCGGTCGGGCTTACGGCGAGAATGATGTCTGACTGTGCCTTCAAGTCGGCTTCCATCCACTGTTCGATGGCGTCGGCGTTGGACCCTGTTGCTTCGGGCATCACTTTCGTGCAATTCACGTAACCCCAGGCAACATTCTTTATCAGTATTGCACGCATCTGTATCTTCCATATGTCATAATTTTCCTTATTCAGAGTTTCAAACCTTACGCTGGACATATTCATTTTCTCGGCGTACGTGTTTAAAAACAAAAGAAATATAAACGATAACCTAACTTCGCGCACGTGTTCAAACTGTCCTCACGTATCTATTCGCGTTACTCTGGGCCCATAACCTGTTGGAATTATGGACAGCTCGCCCCCTAGTCTCTCGACACACAGATCGTTCCCTGATTGTTGGCGGATTCTGGCGGATTACAAGTCATGACGCACAACTCACTCTTAGCACACACCAAGCCACACGCGTTCTTCTCGACGGTCACAGAGACAGTACTGCTCTAGTCAAACAGTACACAGAACCGTCAGTCGATTGCTCGGCATATTGATAGGCACTCTCCTGATGGGATTGTATCGCCCTGTCGATAACTCCAACAAATATAAAGAAAGTGAAGATAAAATAATTAATTGAAAAATATAAGACTGTATTTGCAAAAGATAAATACGATATTGGTACAGTCAAGTTAACTCGCCATGTGCTGTACCGCTACACAGAGTAGTCGCTTAGCCATTTTCACTGTTGCCGACGATAAAAAAAACTAACGGTCTCTCCCATTATTTTCAGAATGCAATTTTCGATCATTCAGAGAGTTCAACGGAAATTAGACCTTATCTATTTTGAGTCCTTTGCTTTGGCCATTGAAAAAATGAGAGTCGTTTACGGGAAAAAATGATAAATTGCAATAACTTCCGCCTCCCACGCACTAACCTCCCCCGCGTCACACAGTTCAGAGATCTTTTGCGGGGGAAGTGGGCGGAAGGTGAAGGCGACGTGCTGTGGGTCCTTTCTTCTGTGGAAGGCCCTGTGCACGTCGCTGTTCGCCGCTACGCCGGACCCGCGCAGGATACGCGGGGCGATCGGCTTTGGCGGCCTCGCGAGCGCCGTCTGCGCTCGCTTCTGCAGCTCCGCCAAATCCACCTCCGTTTTTTTCATCTTCCCCTCTGAAAAGTCGCTGTAACTTCCCACCCCCGCGCCTTGCGCCCTGGGCTATATACACAGTCCACGTGACACACACGTCATATTCGCGTTCGCGCTGCGACCAAAATCACATGATCCCCGCAGTTCTGGCTGCTTTTTCCTTGAATTCCCGGAAGCTCTCAAAATACCTCAGGGATGTTCTACCACGCGCTTCGGGTGTTTCCAGCCCCCGCCTGCTTGCGACGCCCTAACAGCGTCTGCCTAAGCCATAATTCACAGCCCTTGGTGTTAGATCCGTTTGCAGTACGTTAGAGTACATTACTGGCAGACGATTGAGTGGCTTGATTTTTTTTGCTCCAGTTTTGGGTAGAAATACGTGATGCCGCGTGTGAAACACTCCGGAAGTTCGTTTAGGTTTTTTAAAATTTTATTAACAGTCTTTGCTAGATGAGAATGTAATGATGTTAATTTCTTAATCCAATAATTTTGGATCTTATCAGTCCCGTGGGATTTCCAGTTTCCCCATGTTCTTAATTACTTGGAAGAGCTCTTTCGAGAATTCGTGAATGTGTTCCACTGTTTCCACCCGTTCATCGAGGACAACTTCAGATTGAAGCCAAGATACATCTTTGTTGTAGGATATGCTTTCTTCCCAGAATCCTGCCCAAAATATTTTGATTCCAGATGCTCTGATTTTTCGCAAATTGCAAAAGTGCATTTTTTTGGACGTCTCGCTATAACTACAACATTGACGATAGAGATTTATTTCCTTAAAGAAATATGTTCTTTAAAGTCAACACTTGAAATAAGGTCATGTTTAGGTTTCCGAAAATACGAGTCGTTTTCGTGTAATTTTGCGCGAAATACAAGAAATTTTTAATTTTTTTTAAACAATTTGGTTCTCAAAAACTTCTCCAATTTTTTTCCATTAAGTTTCTCACAGAAGCAAGGAACGGTAAAAATATGGTGCTAGTCCCATTTTCGGGAAACTCCATATTTTCGAAAATTACAAAAAAGTTATCGTTTCAAAACTACAAAATTGAAGATAGCGACTTTTGTCTTCAAGTCTGTTATAAAAAAATCAGCTCTTTAAGAAAGGTCATGAACATTTAAAAAACGAGAAGATTTCGCGTATTTTGCGTGTGAAATGTGCACTTAAAAATATGTTTTTCTCAAAAACCGCACCAAATTTTTTCATTCAATTTTCTCTTTCTATGTAACGACGGACGAAAAAAATATAGTACTAGTCCCATTTTCGGCGAATTTTCCGCATTTTCCAAAATTGCGTGTTGGAAATATTAGATCCAGACAAATACATTTTTAAGCATCGGACCAGTTCGAACCACGCGGCGCTTCTGTAGCGTAATGTTACTGATGGCAGGTTAACATGGAGGACTCAAGTTCGAGTGTCGGTGCAGAAATTTATTTTTGCTGGTTGAAAACACTTTTGCATTTTTATGTGCTAGTATAATATTTTGAAGCAGTTAGAAATAATGCGAGCCAGAATATACTGTTGTACTACCACTAGTTAAAAAAAAACAACATAGTTTTCGCGTAATATCAGCTTTAATTTGGTACAATTTTATTTATTTATTTATTTATTTATTTATTTATTTATTTATTTATTTATTTATTTATTTATTTTATATTTATTTATTAAAACAGTTAAAAACTGTGTGTCGTGCTATGGGGAGAAGTTGATTTGAAATTACATTTATGTCCAGAAGTAAAACAAGAGGCCCTCTCAGTATTTGCTCGAGGATCTGGGTAACTGGCAATCGTTTAATGTCATCTAGCAAAGTGTTGTAAAATAATGTACATGTATTATATGTGAATTTTTTGTAGTGAGCTGCTGATACTGTCACCTGATGAATATGATTACTATGTCAAGTGTTGTAGTTATAGACATTAGCGTTTGCTGAAAATATATTCCCGCCCTTATAAGTAAGTCATTTTTTAGATAAACAACAGATTCATATATCAAGAGACAAGGTAAAGGTAAAATACCTTGGGTGTGATTTGCTTATTATCCGTCCAATTCTTTTTTGTAATCTTTAAGTTTGGGAACTATAAGATGTATTTCCCCGGTATAGTATGCCATATCTCAGGCGGGAATGAACATTCGCGGAATATACACAACGAGTAGTGTGTAGGCTGACTGAATTTCAAGGATTCTGAAAGCGTAGCATAAAGAACTTAATTTAGTGTTCAATTCATTTAACTGGACGTTTCCTTTAAGGTTTGACTGAATTGAAAGACTTAAATATTTTGTTACTTTAACATCAGTCAATGGCACACCGTTCATTCTCGGTGAAGTGCAGAGCTGTTTATGTGACATGGAAAACTGCATTGAAACAGTTTTCTTTTCATTTACTATTCATTTATTACGGAACCAATTTGAAATATCTGATATTGTACTATTTACGGTTTTCTTTATTGCAAAGAATATTCGTATAACGCGCAAAGAGAACTGTTCTTCCGTTTCTAATCGTCGAGGTGTTATTTTAAAAAATGTTATCAAAAACGGCTCTAATTTTTTTCCGGGGATTGAATAAGAGTCGCTTAAAAGAATGGAGTAGGCCTCATTTTCGTTGAACTCTGAAATTTTGAAAGTTGCAAAAAATGAACTTTGCAAAAATGTAATATTGAAGTTAGAGATTTTTGACTTAAATTAAAGGTTCTAAAAAAATAATCTTTAAAGAAAGATCATGTGAATATTTCGTGAAAATATTAGTAGTGTTTTCATAATTTTCCATTGAAAAATGTATTAAAAAATACGTTTTCCCTCTTTTTTCGACATGTTTTCTTCAAATTTTCTCTTAGCATGTACACGGTAAAAGACTGTGCTGGTCCCATTTTTCGACAAACTGTGTTTTATAAAATTACAAAAAAAATTGACATGTCAAAATTAAGATTTTTGTCTGGAATTATATGTTGTTGTACAAAAGAAGACCTTTAAAAAGGCCATGTAATATTGTTTTTAGAAAACGAGCATTTTTCGTGTAATTTCTGCTCGAAGTTATTGCAATTTATCATTTTTTCTCGCGAACGGCTCTAATTTTGTAAATGGACAAAACAAAGGACTCAAAATAAATAATGTCTAATTTCCGTTGAACTCAGGGTTGACGAAAATTGCATGCTGGAAATAATGGGAGAGACCGTTAGTTTTTTTATTGTCGGCAAAAGTGAAAATGGCCAAGCTACTACTAGGTGTAGCGGTACAGCACATGGCGAGTTAACTTGACGAACCAGACGTCGACTCTCGACGCGAAGAAAATACTGTTACTGATTGGAAACAATTTCGCAAGTTGATGTAGGAGTTGTTGTGAAACCATTGCCAATGATGCGTGAAAGTATGTGCTATTACATTAGTTTAGTTATTCACTTAACAAATGGCAAACTATTGTTAATTTATAAACTCATTTTTGAACAATTCTATTTCATTAATTATTATAACTATTAAAGTAAAACTTCACTCACTACGTGTTTCAGGCAACTGAAGAGAAAAATGTATAAGTGAGGAAAATGCACAACTGAAATTGAATATTATGAGCTAAACAAAAACTCTATACTTCTACATTGGCGTGCTCCATTCTTGGACTTCCTCGCAAGAATTACGAACCCTTCCTTTTTTTTGATTTATTTAAAGAGCAGTAAAAACTAGATGTGACATGTCGGGAAGAAGTATCATCTGCGCACGTTTTCTAGAGCTCGAGAATATCTTTCCATCATTTTAACTATAAATAGTTGAATGATGAATGAAAGCTTCCAAAAAGAAAACATTTTAACAACTTTCGAAAATTAGACATTTTTGCATCCGAGTTAAAAAAAACTTATTTGCATCGGTAAACAAACTGCACTTTTTTTACTGCTAACAAAATAGTAGTACACCCCCTGCTCTACTACCTATTGATATATACTTCATTGAATAAGTGAAACATGTTCATACACATTTTTGAGAATTTTTAAAAGAGGAGGTCATTTTTCTCTTATTTTTAAGTCTTTTTATAGGTCATTTTCATAGGAACTTAAGGTCATCAGAATCCGAACCCTGGTCATTATAAATATTTGTTTCCCTCGATTTTCAATAGGTACTTTAAGGCCTGTGTCACACGAGCGTTGCGTAGACGCGCATCATCTAACGCTCATGACGTCAGCTCGCGTCAATGCACATGAGTCACTTAACGCGCATCGTAGACAAACATTGTGTCTTATGCGAAACGGCACACAAGCGCTCATGGTGACGTGCGTTGAAAGCTAGAAAACGCATGTTATCTCGACTTACGTTGTAGCTTGAGCTGTGGGCACGACGCCAAAAACGCTCGTGTATCGGTTCGACCAAGTGTTAACCGACTCGTGTGCGCAAGCATCAACGTGGCTGACGCCATCAGCGTAAGGAATAATATCTAGTTTTAATACTCTTAATACTTATCCCTGAATTCTAAAATATTTTCTACAAATTCTCTTATTTGTTCCTGACTTTTCCAGAGCAATCCCTTATTTTATCGGTTTTCCAAAAAGTGGCCACCTGTAGAGATAGAGAGTAAGAATAACTGACAAAAGAAATACTATAGGAAATGATGACAAAATGAAATAAATCCAAATAATAAGGGTACTACTGAGATTCACATCAAAATATGGTGAGATTAACAGAACTTGAACACCTGTTCAATTTATGAGTCAATTCTATCACTGTGATGTAGGAATTTGCAAAAACCAGATGTTTAAAAAGTTGTAAAAGTGTATTTTTCAAGTCAAATGTTACTGTTTTTGAAGTATTACTTATAAGAAAGAAAAATCTTTCAGTACTAAAATCTATAAATTTTAATAAAATGTAAATTTAAAAATAGAATGCTTTAGGTACTATCTTTTATTCACAAAGGCATTCAAAATAGCAACAAATAAAAGTATAATAATAAATAACAAACTTTTCAAAATAAATATGTACAAAATATATTTAAAAAATCAACATAAAGGTCATAACAATATACATATATATTTATAAATAATTAGAGGGCTAATAATTAGTCAATTTAATTTTAACATGAAAATAAGAATTACAATTTTCTTTTCAAACAATTATACACCAATGTATTATTTTATGATTCAAATACTCTTCAAATTTTTTGTAATAGAGAACATTTCAGAAAGTGATAAGTGGTGGATGCTTGGACATTTCTCGAACTGCAACAGGAAACCAGTAGAAATTAAAAGTGAAAAAATTACTTCAGCCTCTCTTTGAATGAATATTAAAAATTCTTTTACCACCTCAGAAAATATATCATAGTTTGATGTCAATTTTAGTGACTGATATGTTTTATTTAACTGTCAGTGGCCCAGTTAGGGGGAGGTCAGTAGACCTCCTAGGATGACTCGAGAATTGAAATGCTTGCATGGGCATTGACAGCTTCCCCTTTATTCGAGTTATTTCAATTGGGCTGTGATTTACTTCAAGTCTACTAAGTCTGTATCATGGAAACTACATTTAAGCTTGATCAGCCTTCATGGACTTCATCTTTTAGTTTCAATAGTTATCAGGACTTGTGGTAGAGTAGGTACTTAGATGAAAACAATAGCTACCTAACAGATGTAAATTTTCAAAGATGCATAATATTGCAGGCAATAAAGAAGCAAGTTGCAGTCAAGTGATGTATGAACTTCTATTTCTTTTTTTTTTTAATAATGTCCTTTTAAATAAAGAATATCCCCAGATTGTTTCCAGATGTACTCAGGTCAGTAATCAAAGAGTTTTATAATATTTCAGAAGCTATCACATCTTGTGGTGGTGATCAAAGTTGACGCCTAACACCCTTCTTCTTGACCTGCAATTTGTTTCCCTCTTCTTTACCAACATGGTTGAATTATGAATAAAATATATCAAAAATATTTGCTAGCAATATTTAAACTATTTGCAGTGGTAAACAAAGTACACAGAAAACATAGTTGGGAATATTCAACAGCAATGTCAAGGCTGTCTTACTTTATGGATCAGAACTTGGTGATGGAATAACACCATAGAAACCAAATTACAAACTTTTATAAACAGGTGTCTCTGAAAAATATTTAAAGTCTACCGGCCCATGAAAATAAGAAATGAAGAACTGTGGAATAAAGCCATAGAAGTGCCTAAAGAACTTCAGATTAGAAAAAGAAAATGGCCATGGATAGGTCACAGACTGAGAAAACCAACAGGAGCAATAGAAAGGCAAGTTTTAGAGTGTCGTCGTACTGCAGGGAAGAGTTGCAGGAAGAGCAGGGGCATATGGAGAAAGACTGTCTACAAGGAGGTGAAGAAGGCTGGAAAATCATGGAAAATCATGGGAAATTAAAGGAATAGCGGCTAATTGAGTTAGATGGAAGTCTCTCATCGAGGTTCTATGCTCCTCAGAGGAGCAATAGGGAAGAAGAGAGAAAGAACAGACACACTTTGATTATTTAGTCAGCAAAGTGTAATTAACTTTGGTTATTTAGTCTGCAAAGTACAAATACACTGCTAACTAAATAACCAACACCAAACTCAACTCACATCTAGTGAAATAAGAGCTTGTTTATTTATTCATTTGTTTGTACATTCATTAGTGTTTAGAGACTAATCAACTGCTGAAATCACTAAGGCCCATGAGTGATGATCTAATGAGTATTCCAATACAATAATACCGATAATGACAAAAAGGTAAATGCAATTTGAGGCTGGGGAAACAGGACAACTCCCAGAAAACATGCAGAAAGCTCCCTTGGGCCACCATTAGTTTCACATAGATTGGCTGGGGATCAAATTCAGGTCCCTATGATGGAAGGCACATGCCGTAGCCATTACACCATAATGAGAGCTCAGGAAAAGACAGATTATATAAATCTTAAAGTTTCCTAATATTTGGCACTGACATTAAAATGTAGGGCCTGTTGGAGGAATAACCTAAATTTATTATTTGACATTCAATTGAATAACAGAAATTAAATTAAATTAAATTATATAAACATGGTCCATGGTTTTGAATTCAAAATGTTGTGACACATTTCAAAATCTTAGGATCAATAACCTAATGGATCAATTTTTGAGATTGCATAAAGCTTCACAACAAAAATAGTTGCAAATGAAAATTATCTTATAGTTGGATACCTTGTAAATTTCATTTATTTCCTTGGTGATGCTGTAACCAGGTCATTCTTTCCAGGTTTGCAAATAACACAGCTTTCCTGAAAGTATCAATCAGCAAATAAATAGTTTTCATTACATTCTCACACTGTGATCTACTTAAATGAAGATAATTATTGTTAAACAGCATTCTTGTGCAATAGATAATCCATTAAAAAATTAATTCACTGCATTAAAGATTAAAAAAAAAAAAAATTGATAAATCCTTTTACAAGAAATTGTTGGAACTTGACTGTCTGAATATGTTGAAAATATTTATATTACATAAGATTTATTATAAGTATTTGTAAGTTTTATTATTTCGTGTTTATTATTTGCATTTATATTACACTTACCAATAAACCCAAAGTAGGCAAGCAATCTTCATGAAATGTGTGCTTGCAGAAAAATACAATTACTTTGCTGGCATGGCTGAGATCTGTAAGTTACCAAACAAAATAACTTTTTGTTTTGTGTTTTCTAGTTTTCTTTTTCTTTCTTTTCTACCATTCATTATCAAGAAAAATGACATTTTGAAAGACATCTACTGAAGAACATAAAACTACAGAAAAATTAATCTGAGACTGATTTCAAAGATAGCTAGTTACGTGGCTCGTTTTAATGTAGACCATAATAACTATTTTTAATTACACATCTAGAAACGGTCCTAAATGATAGGAAATTATTACATAGTTTAAAAAAGTATTATCAAGAAGACATCTCTAATGTATTTGTTAAGCATATTGTAAGCGTTAGTTTTTAAATAAAAAATGTATATTCATAATGGAAATATTCCTTTGGATGTGATGTGATTAATTTGTGGTAATTGTTCTGAGTAAATTGAGAAAAATTACAAAAATATGTCAACAGGCTGGGGTTGGAGATGGACAGCCTCCCCCCCTAGATCATCAAAGGATATTTATTTACAGATTAATTTGATTTCCTTGTACTGTGAAATAAACAGAAAGATGCATACTAAAACTATACAAACCTTTAACAATGATTTTCCTGTGGCAAGCTCCACAAACTTGATCATCTAAAACCCAAATAATCAAAAAATAAATTACATGATAATGTAATGTCATGTTGACATTTTAATGTCCAAAATATTAAAAATTGATCATAAAATTCTCATAACTTACCGTCAATTGATATTCCTCGCTGCTGTAAGCCAACTAATTTTTTGTGTAAATTAAAATAGTCTGTAACAAGTATTTTTTTGCATCCTTCTTGAACTGACACCTACAAATACAAAGGATACGTAATTTCAAATTTAAAACATGAAATACTGAGATATATATATAGTTTTGTTAGTTATAAACAGAAAGTCCATCATAATAATAAAAAAAGAAAGTGAAGTATTCAAATTTACCTGTAAATTGTAGTCCTGCATCATTTTCACCAAAGAGTTTTGAAGTCCTTCTATTTTTAATCCATTTTCAATCTTCTGAATTAATATACGCGGATCAATGTATGTTCCAATTTTTTGTAAAAGGAATGTGATAAACTCTGTGTAGATAACAGTATGAAGTATTATAAATAAAATACAAAATAGTACATTTAAGGCATAGCTTCAAATTAAGAACAAAGAACTTTCCCTTGAAAAAATCTATCAAAGTATATAATTTTTAATTTTCAACAATATATATGATATCGTCAAGACATAATATTAACCTGGTTGGTTGAGGGAATATGTTATGAGATCTTGCCACAATTCCAGATCATCATGTTCCTTGCAGAATGTAATAGCATGATCAATATCTTGCAATTCCTGCATTATCAGCACCAAGGCATCCTTTGTATTACCCATACGATCTACATGAAAAGAAAGAAAATGTTTCATAATATTTTATAAGTTATGCTACTGATCTAGCAAAGTTATTGAATTTTCCAAGAATGTACATAAAAAAACTGCAAAGACATCTCACCCAACAAATAAACCATCTCAGGATAAAATGATCTTTCATGGCAAATATTAAGGGCTTCTTGAATAGGATACTGATCTCTTCTTCGCAGAAATGGAAGCAATTTTTCCCGGTCAAATTCTGCATATAGTCGTACTAGTTTTCCATGATATTTTTTACTTGCTTCAACATCCTTTTTTTCTAAAGCATCTAAATACTTAAAATAGAGATATGAAATATTACTATATTACACATCCATAGAGATTCACACATGTATGCATAAAGATAGCTGTATTTGACACTTACAAACTACAAATCATTCAAGAACAATGTATTTCAACCTGATGCTTCAACGTACTGATGTTTTAATGCATATTAAAATAAAACAAACACATAAGAAAATACTAATTCTTAATTGTAGAATGATTAAGACAATTTCTGTTTGGTTTCTTACATTTTCAATAACACATTCACATTTTGGAATACTGCATTCTTTTTTCTTTTCTTGTACATCCTTGTGACAGTCTGTTACAGTTAATAAATATATCTTACCAAGTACAAATAAAGTTGGTTGTTTTCCAAATGTGACACAACTACTTCTGAAGAAACTCGATCTTTTTCCAGAAACATGTTAATTGCCTGCTCTGCATCAAGATCCATTAAACCTTCAATCATATCATGAATGGATGTATACAAATTATACTTGTGAATAAGTTTGAAAACATCCTTATGTCTCAACCTTGAAAGAAGAAGAAGAAGATACAATGTTCACCTTTACATACCAATCACTAAAAAAATTGTAACCACACAGTAAATGATAAGGATACCAACTTCAAATACATAGCCATGGATTTATCATATTTCTTCTCATGTGAATATAAAATGGCCAGTGCTTCAAGAAGAACGACATTATCTTTATCATTAACCAGCAAATGTTCAAGCACAGCATTAACAACAGCTGGGACATTGTATAATGTTGGAGACCATTCTTTAACTAGCCGCAAGAAGCCCTGAAAATTTGAGAGACATTTTTAATTTAATTCATTTCTGTTCCTAGTAACATTAAAACATATTTATGACAGTAATATATCATAAAAAGTTTACATAGACTCAATAGATGAATTTTAAACTTACAAGACACTTCAATCCCAAAGTAAAATAATTATTTCTTACTATTAACCAAGTGAGAACAAACATTAATTCTAAATTTCTTTAAAATTCAAAATTTACACCAGAAAATACAAAGTATGAAATTAATTTTGAAAGCCAATCAAAGATACATGTTGCTTGCTGAGATTCATAAAAAAAAGTTACTTACACATGGACATTTATAACATTTGAAATCTGCTTTTAGAACAGTAGTTATATTTTTAATTGTTTTTTTTACACCATCTACGTAATTAATAAATATAAGAAGATTAAAAAATATAGGAATTATTTCAAGAAGCAAATGCTAATATGAATTACATATCCAAATACTAATCACACAGATGAACGGAAGAACAGACTACAACAAATGTTTAATTTATATGCACACAAAACTTGACAACTAGTAACTGTGAACATAAAATCAACCAGACGTTATTTTCATAGATCACATCCTCATACATGATTTCCAACATGAATACACAAAGAGAAAATAAAAAGCAGCCAACAAAGATGTCAATTGTCTCAATATTTCCAATTATACATCATTTTTTTCTACTTAACTGAGAGGAAAAATACTTGAAGGTAAGAAATGAATCTGAGAGCAACTGAAAAGTATTCCATTGATTAAAAATACTCATACCAATGCATTGATATGGTTTGGACATCAGAGAAAGGAATGACAAAAATTTGAAGGTGCACAATATAAGATTGGAAGAGATTGCCAGAAAACCAACAGGAACAGCAAAAATTATGTAGCCAACATATAAGGAAGTGGTTCTACACAATGAAAAGTAAAGCAAAAAGCACACTATAAAGAGGAAATGGGGAAAAGCAATGTTAAAAGGTCCAAGGTAGTGAATATTTGTATGAGTTAGACCAAGTGTTTCCACATGTATAATACATAGCATTTCATAGAAATACTACAAAAATATGATAGCTAATTACCTGTGGATCAATTTTCAAATATTCATATAACACCATTTCATAGATATGTGGATCTAATGCATTATCACCATTTGGTAAATATTGGCTCACAGCTCTCAATTGCTGTTGACGTGCAAACTTGAATACTTCCTCTTCCCATAGTTGTTTGTCTTTGCCTTCAAATATAAAAATTAATTATAAAGAACATTCCTCACTAAAACTAAAACATACCCATAACTTTCATTGAAATTTAATATTCTCTATATCACATATTAGTTACCTAATATTTTCAAGCAGAGCTTTCCAGCCTCTTCAAATTTGTTTTGTGATAATAAATGATCCAAATAAGCCCTCCCAACTTTCAATAGGTTGTATTTCTTTAAATTACGACCTTCCAGTTCAGTAACTGCCTGCATTGCCGTTTCATATTTACTGAAAGAGAAAATGTTTTAAGGAAATTGATGCATGAATATAAAACATTTTCCAACAAATAGATTATTGACTGACCCATGTTCCATAAGCCACTGCACCCTATCATCAGCATCATATGGAATGGCTACTACCACATCTTTAGGACTAACAATGAAAAAATGATTCTCTTCAAGGAGGCATTCTGTAAATAATTTGTGTTTATTAATATTTTAGCAAAGAATATGAACACAAAATAAATGATAAAACTTGTAAGTCATAAATACCTAAATGATAGTCATTGCATTTGTATTCTTGGTAACCTCTCAATGATAGACCATCAGTGCACACTTCAATGTAGTCTTCAGGTCTAGGTTCTAAGACATACAACTGCGGTCTTTGTGCTTTCCCATTTTCATCCATTTCCTTCATATAGCCCAATAACACCAGATAATTGTCTAAGGGTCCAATACCACAAATAAAAAAGTCTGTAGTGAATGTTGACACTGAAAAAGCAAAATAGTATTAAAACTTACAAGAATTACTAAAACTTGAAAAACAATTCACAAAATCGAGCCATACCTGGTTCAACAACATACTCAGGTAGCTCACGTCTTGAATATTCAATTGGATTGCGTTTTCTAATTACCAATATTCTAACTGTATCCACCCATCCAACTAGAAGAGTTGTTGCATTTTTCCAACAAAGATTGCATCTGTAGTGTTCAGGTAATGCTCTAAAATTTCCAGAATCAAACAATAATTACATTAATAATTAATAAATATGAATAATAGTATGAAAGTTAATTTTGATTTTAAAATACTCTCTAAATGTTTAAATAAAAAAATTATGACAATTATTGTAGTTTAATAACATATTTATAAATACAAGGTAATATGAAATATAAAATAGAAAAAGTAATGTTGGTAGATGAACTCATGAAAATTACTTTTCAAAAGTTTTGGTAGTAAAAATATAAAAAAAGGCTAAGAAAAATGGAATAAGTTTCACATCCACATTATATGATATAATACATGAATAGGAGGTCTAATGTTTATTCCAGTCATCTATCAATTCATTCAAACATATATTTCAAATACATCATTACACACAAATACATACTTTGGGTTCCTGGTCCATTTGATAAGTCCCAGAGAGCAATGAGCATCAACATCATAAACTCTTACACCTATGTCACTTGCCCAAGCAATGAATTGTCCATTCCATTTAATATTTTGAACACCACCTTCTGCTTCACAAAGGACAGTAGACTTCACAGAAGACTTGAGGCGTGATAAGAAAGTTTTCTCATGCAACACTAAACGCTCATCACCTACAAGTAAAACAAATTACTTTAAAATATATAACAAATTTTCTAATAAAACATTCTATGCAAGTATGTTCCATACATTCATATTCAGATTAGAAAATAAGTTAACAGACAACATTAGATTAAGCAGATCAGAAAACACAGATTTCAGTCCTTTGTCAGGTTCCACTTCCCATATTTTTTCTTAACATCAGCTTATCTTCCTGACTACTCCTTTATTCAAATGAAGTTAAAATAATCATATAATTATCAATGTCAAATCTCTAATTTTCTCTTTATGTCTCTTTCCTTTTTTAAGAAGCCCAATGCACAAATATTACTCCTTCTTTTTTTAAAATATGCTAAAATATATACACAAAAATCCCTTTACAGGTTCGTGTTCCACAGTGTCAACTCAAACTCTATCCAAGTTCTCTTGAAGGTGGAGATGGTTTACCAGAGGGTTAGAGTACAATTTGGTATTGCCTTGAAATGGGAAAGCATATCATTTGGAGGTGTGCTAGTGAACAAAATAAATATAATTGATCCCAATATTGATCCCTGGGGAATTTCCCTGCAAATGCTTCTATGTGATTTGTATTCTCCAATTCTACACAAAAGTGGTGATCCTCAAGGAAGGACTGTAACCAACACAAAAGCTATCGCCTAATACCAACATGTGCAAGTTTGTATTTCAACCTGTGATATGGTATCTTATCGAAAGCTTTAGAGAAATCCAAGTAAATGATATTGGTTTACCATAATCTAAGTCTTATGACCAGTCTTGCATTGAAGATTAAAATTTGTCAATATGGATCCCCTGGTATGAAATCATGTTGCTGTGCAGGAATACATCCAGTTCTCAAAGCAAATCCCAGAATTACATCTGCCAAAATTCGCTCCAAGACCTTGCATATTGAGCTGGTGAAACTAATATCCTATAATTACTTGTATCTAGTTTGCTACCTTTTTAAAAAACGGGTGTGAAGTAGGATACTTTCCAATCAGATGGCAACATTCCTGAATTATAGGAATTCCAGAAGATACTGTATACAGCTGGGGAAAGTTCTGCGGCACATTGTTTCAGCATAAGAGTTGGAATTTCATCTGGCCCAGCAGATGATGAAGCAAGTGAAGTAAAGATGATTAAGTTATCTTCAGGTTGTTGGTATTGCCTTTCTAACTCTTTGTACTTCACGTGGTGTGATGGACTATTAGTAGAATTAAATTTACCACATAATCTTTTTATTTTGCTTATGCTTTTAGTAATCCATGTTTTATCTTTGTTCAGGAATTCCGTTTTGTATATGTGAGTCAACATTTAAAGCATTAGCCATTCCCAATCTAAATGACAGCCAGCTTTTTTCAAAAGTGTTCTGGAGAGAGAGTTGTGGAAGATCTCTCTTCACATTTTCAAAATTTGCTCGCCAGCAAATCTATTTTGCAAATATCACGATTTTCATGACTTAAATTTGCATATCAATGGACCAAAGAACATGATCAATGTTCTCCACAGGAGCCCTCATGATGGAGACAATACAGCTGATTCCTCATCTGTCATAATTGGATCAAGCATCGCTGATCTCTGTCCATCTCAAAACATGGTTTTGTCAGCTATCAGTTGAGAAAAACAATGTAAGAAACTTGCTTGCTACTAGTGGGATGTGGTTTGAGCTAGACTGTGTCCAGTGAAGTGTCAAAAAATTGAAGTCTCCGAGTATAACAATAAGCTCATCAAAATCATTTGCCTGACAAAGCATGTCAAACAGAGCAGCATTGATATCTAATATCATATGTAATGGCAGGTGTGGGAAACAAAGCACAGAAGTTTTAAAAAATAGTACATGAAACTTTGCATTGAAATGTTTAGAAAAAATGTTTTGAAAATGTTTTGAAATGTTGAGAAAATGTTTTGAGATGAGTATCTTTAAATGTGAAATTTAAAGCTCTTTATCACAGAAAACTTTTGATTTTTTTGAAAAACTTCATTGAAAATCATTGAAAGCACTTCTACTCACAAATGAAATAATGTAAACAGATCACAGTTATGTAAAATATTAACATCATGAGAGATACCAAAAAACAGTGTACTTTTTGGAAAAAATAAAATGTCAAAAGCCATGTATGTCATATTCTTTAGTTCATTTAGCACTACACATTCTTCTTCTTCTTTTTTTTTCTCTCTCTCTGTCTGTCTGTCTGCCTGCCTGCCTGCCTGCCTGCCTGCCTGCCTGTCTCTCTCTGTCTCTGTCTCTGCCTGTCTCTGTCTCTGTGTGTGTGTGTGTCTCTCTGTCTGTGTGTGTCTCTCTGTCTGTGTGTGTGTCTCTCTCTCTCTCTCTGTCTCTCTGTCTCTCTCTCTCTCTCTGTGTCTCTCTGTCACTCTCTCTCTCTCTCTGTCTCTCTGTCTCTCTCTCTCTGTCTCTCTGTCTGTCTCTCTCTCTGTCTGTCTGTCTCTCTCTGTCTGCCTCTCTCTTTGTCTCTGTCTGTCTTGTCGTGTATGTCTCTTGTCTCTGTCCTCTTTGTTCTGTCTGTCTCTTTTCCTCTGTCTGTCTCTTTGGTCTCTGTCCTGCTCTCTTTTGTCTCCGTCTCTCTCTTTGTCTCCGTCTCTCTCTTTGTCTCCGTCTCTCTCTTTGTCTCTGTCTGTCTGTCTCTTTCTCTCTTTTTTTCTCAATTTGAAGTCATTTTCAAGAAAGTGGCATTTAAGTGTTCTGAAAATGTAGAATTTTTAAGCTCACTTTCACAGAGAAGTTTCGAGTTTTCGAGTTTTTGAGTTTTTGGGAAACTTAATGACCTCATTTGAGGCACAAATATTCAGAAAATGTAATAAAGTTCGCAAATCACTGATATTGTAAATATTAACGAATTGAAAGAGATGTACAAAATATTTAATTTGTGAAATTTTTTAAAAAAAAACAAAGAATTCTGAAAAATGGCATTTATGTCATATTATAGAGAACATTTAGCACTAACCCGACCACAAATTTAAAGAAAAAATTTGAAGTTGTTTGGGAAATTGTTTTTGACATTTTTTAATATTGCCCTTATTTCACACAAATAGTCTGAAAACTACTAAAATTTTCAAACAATGAAAGAACTAATTGTGGAGAACAAATTGAATATGAAGAAAAAATCCTTATCTTTGATATTATAGTCGTAAGAAGACGCTGAAAAAAATTTCAAACTTTTGAAAATATAGAGTGTATTTCACTCTATTCTTACAAGAAATTTAAAAGAAAAAATATTTGAGCCATTTTTGAGAAAATGTTGAAAATTCCACAGGGGCTTTATGTAAAGTATCCCCCAAATTTAAACTATGTTTTTCAAAATCACACAGCTTTGAGTCTGACCAGATAAACTGGGGAATATTAATTTTGGAAAAAATTGTACAAATAGTTTAACCACTGATGATCACTGATGAACAGACAGGCAGATGGATGGAAATAAAAAAGCCTCTTTTACATTTTCAGGAGATCCCACAATATGTATTTCCGTTAAAACTTCGAAATCAATTTTCCACAGAATTACATAACTTTCTCTACATTAACTTTCTATATTACCCAGAATACACACAGGCATACATATACAAGAAAGAAAAAATGAAATGAATACAACTTGTTGAAAGTATAATATAATAAAATACTTGTTGCAACAATCATAAACCCATAAAACTTTGGATCAATTAATTAGTGGGTGGAAAATGACTGAACAATGGGAATCATTGCAATAAAAATGTTTAAAAGGCACATAGATAACAATAAAAGAATGAATAAATAAGAATATTTAGAAAAATTATAATAAAATTATTTCTTGAACACAAACCTAGTTAAATTAGCTAGGGCAGTATGTAATTTAGAAATATTTCATGCAGCATACAAGAATCAAGTTTTTAATGTACACTTACCAGTAACAAATCTTCTCCCAGAACCAGCCTTAAAGTAATTTGGATCAATTGCTACAGATTTAACTAAACGGCCAATTACCATATCATGATTGTTTTCAGTTGAATACAAGCCATAAACAAAAACCTGCAAATAAACACATTTGAAAAATATTTTGTAAAGCACAAGTAATGGCAAATAAATAATTGGGATACTTACTTTCCCGTCATCTGAACAACTTGCAATAAAATCACCATTTTGGTCAATACTGATTTGATTCACTGCTACAGAATGAGCTCTCAATTCCTTGCCACGGATGTTATTTCCTTGATGATCTAGCAAATGAATCATTCCCCAGAGGCTGCCTACACAAACAAACTGTGAAAAGATATCCCACAACATAATTATACAAATAAAAACTTCTGAAGATTTCTTTTATTTAACATCAAAAACAGTTAAAACCTGAGCAACATACTATGGGGAGAAATGCCAATCTGTGCATGGTTTCTTGAGCTCTGGGATGACTGTTTTAACACAAATACATATTGAGTTGAATTACGAATACAGGTAACAAGAGCATTTTGGAAAGAATTTGTAGTATGAAAATATTCACTCCCATGTAATAAAAAATGTTTTGCAAAAGAAAATTGGGTACAGATTTTGGCTACTATTCCTAGATCTCTACGTGAAAGAATGAATTTACTGCCATGCGAAAATAAGATGATCTACTTACTGCACTACCTTCAAATGTATATTGGAAACCACAAAAAAAAACTTTTTTTTAAATATTACACATTCTTTGTTTCCTTTTTATTATTAGTTTAAAATAACATAAATGCGTAGAAAAATTATGTTTAATAAATATGAAACATTGAAGAGGTCAAGGCAACATAATATCGCATATTCAAAATAAATATCTTTCATAAAAAATCTCTATACAAAATAAATACCACAAGAAATTTCCACAAAAAAATAAATATACAAATCCAAATGCCATACAAATATGTCCATAGAACTTCTAGGGATTTACATAAACTATGGTTTTGCTCTGTCTAACAAAAATGAGTTTCATCACTTCCTTTCCCCAACATTTAAATTATATTTTTAATAATGAATAATGGGTGTATATTAGAGACCATTAACATCATTAATCGATTGTTAATTCAATTTCCAAACTGATAACAAGAAGTTTCTATACCAATTCTTCTGAAAAGTACAAATCTTGCCAAATACTATCCAACAAGTTAATAAATCAGTACATGCAATGGCATACTTTTGGATGAACTGCAATACAACTTGCTGCATCTTTAGTTAAAATATTCTGAACATCATTCATCATTCTGACATATTTCAACTTTGGTTCAGCTTCTTCAGAAACTGTACTGTTTCTTTCATCTTCATCATCATCATCTTCATCTTCATCATTTTTAACTTTCTCCTTTTCATCAATTCCTTCAACACTCTGAAATGCACCAAATTTTTTACTAAACTAAAAATGGCAGAAGCCAACTGCAGATAACATACCAATTTTAAGCATGTAATGACAGAACAAAATAACCTTTGGGACATAAATGTCGACCTGACAAAGAATTATTATGAAGTGTTCAAAAAGGTATGGAACATAAAGTTTTAAACAGAATCTTTAAAACTAAACATCTATTCATAATTAACTTTCAATTATCACTCTTGACATTAAACAGAAGTAGCAAGTAAATTATTATTGATGTGATATTGAAAATCAAAAAGATAATATTTCATTCCATTAACATTCATATATTGTGTTTCATTTTAAAAATACTGATTCTATTTTACAACACACAAGAGAGCTACCAAGAAGAGAAATATATCGAATCACAAATGCAAACTACTCACAGTTTTTACATGTTTGAATTCATCACTGCTCTGATTAGTGGTATCCATTATGAGTTGTTTTTGAAATTTTTATATTCTAAGCAAACATTGTTATTTTATTTCTTTAAAGTTAATATATTTTCATAATACACTTTAGATACAAGTTCTGTTGAGTTATTTCGTCATTTTAATTACTCATACACAAAACACTGATAATGATTTTCCCATAGATCACGTAATTTCTCTTTATGCACAATTTTCAATTCGTCACATTGAACTGTCACCACCAATGAAAAGAAAAGTGAGGTTACAAAATCAGCTGATCAAACATAACATAAGACAGACAGCATCGAACCACTTATTTTACTCTCTGCTTCAAACTAGTTAACCAGAGAATACTATAAAAAGCGAGTATATATCAAGCTCAACCAATAATCTGAATTACAGTGTAAAAGAACAGGCGTATCAGTGTCAACTCCCAATCTCCAGGCTTGTTCCTGTCTAAGAAAAATACGGAAGTCTCTGAAAGGTCTGAATTTCAGACTGAAACAAACTTTTCGAGGCTTGTGTCTAATTTAAATGTAGTGCCTTCTGACAGATAACAATATGTGATGCAATTATTCAATCGCAAACTTCAATACCAAATATTCAAGTCATAACAAAGCTTTTGATTGGATAATCTGAAGATCTATCATAAGCAAAGATTGGATTCCCGAAACTACATCTTTTCTTTACTAACTTAAAATCGGATGAAACCTTGTCAGAAATCTGAATCATGAAACAGACGTTATTTTAGCACTCTTATATTTTTTTTGTTTGTTTGTTATTTAAGGTCACATCAACTACAAGATCATTAGCGACCATTTTATATTATTATTATTATTATTATTATTATTATTATTATTATTATTATTATTATTATTATTATTTATTCATTCACAGCTCACTGGTACATATATTGTAGTCATACAGATACAATACATCAAAGCATGACATCAATAAAAATCAACAGTATGTAATTCTAGAAGTTATAGACTAATACAAAATTTAACATTTATAATATTCATAAATACTAATGTAATTAAAGTAGCAACTAAACATTCTCATCACTTCCCAAGAATTTTCTGACCAATGTGCATGTACAACGTACGACACATTTCTGGATATTGATTATGACATTTTTATTTATTTTCAGCGTTTCTAGTGAATTCTTCAGTCTTCGGGATGACGCCCGTTGCAGAAAGAACCACGGGGACGGTTTTGATTTCCGAGATGTTCCATTGCTCCTTCACAACATGTGCCAATTCTTTGTACTTCTTTTATTATTATTATTATTATTATTATTATTATTATTATTATTTCCACGATTAATTTGACATCTACTGCCAAAGGTTTTTGTAGTTCTGCACAAAACGCACGCATTTCTTCCTCTTTGGGCGCTGTTAGAATTTATATAAGCGGGATGTCTTTTCACATTATTGTTTTTTATGAGTACATGGGCGTTAAATAATGTCTGATAAGGTTTTTCGAAAATTCAACCGTTTTCTATGAAAACTAGCTCAACATTCCGCATTTTCAAAAACGCTCAAACGCCATTTTCTCACAAATGGCTCCAAATTTTTTCTTCAAACTTTTCGAACTGATAGTGCCAATTGTACTCTTTAATATGACATAAAGTTCATTTCGATGTTTTTGTTTTTTTCAAAAATTACACAAATGTCTTTGTTATTTGTGATTGCAATACAGGCAATTTGTTTTAAAAAGTTCTAAAAAATGGTAACGAATTTTTCTTTAATTTATTTCGTCAGATAGCGAAAAAGACGTTAATAAATGACGCAGATCTTATTTCTGAATAATATCAAAATTTGGAAAATTGCAAGTTGCAAATAATGCGAGAAAGTATATGCTGCCGTAGCACCACCAGTTCAGAACAGATTTCAACAAGAAAATATCTCTATCATCGAAATTGTGATTTTGCAATGTCACCTAATTTTTTGCAACTTTCGAAATTACAGAGTTCACAAAAAATGGGAAGTGCGCCCTTTTTATACGCTTCCTTTGCTCTAGAATGATTTCAGTGCAAAACAAGACGCTGCTTTACAAAATATCTTTTAGGTGCGACAGTATTTCTCAGGACTTCCAAAAAGCTTCACAACCATTGTTGCTATTTATGTGAGACGTTTACCAAGAACTACTGGCGCTAAACGTCACATACTTTCTCGCATTATTTGTAAATTGGCAATTTCTGAGAATTCTAAAAAATCAACGATAATGGGACATGTGCCATTGTTTTCAGCGTTTCTTGTTTTATCCCTGGGAGAGAAACGAAGACAAAATTTTGAGCAGTTTTTGAGCAAATATTTTTTTATAGAGAGAATTAATTTCAATCGAAATTACGCCAATTACACTTTTTTATTATTTTTTAGAACAGATTTTAAGGCAAAAATCTCTATCTTCGATTTTGCAGTTTTGAAATGTCAACTAATTGCAATTTTCGAAAATTCAGAGTTCGTCTGAAATGAGACTGGCACCAAATTTTTTACCTTCTTTTGATAGATATGAAAAGAAAATTCAAGGAAATATTTGGAGCCGTTTCAGACAAAAAAATGTTTAAAATTATTTCAAAATTGCCTATATTTGAAACAAAAGTATGCGAAAACTACACATATTTTTAAAAAATTGTACATGATCACATTTCAAGATGTCAAGATTTCAGATTTTATTCAGCAAAAAATCTCCAACTTCAATATTGTAGATGAAGGAAAACCTCGAAAAAATTAAACTTTTGCAATTTTCAAAAATTCTGGGAATTTGACAAAAATGAAACCGGCACAGTTCTCTCAAACGTCCTTTAGACTCTCCGCAGACAAAGCTTAATCAAAAAATTTGGAGCGATCTAATAAAAAATTTTAAACCTTTTTTCGGACTTCATGTAAAGTACGTACCCTATAGTCAAAACATGTTTCAAACTTAGAGGATCTAAAGTTCCTTTAAATCGCTTCGAGAATATCAAATTTGGAGGAAATCGGCTGAATGGTTTAGATGCTGGCTTTGACCACAGAGGGGCGGACATGTTTTTCCAATGGATTTTCGGTATCACAGACGCACAAAATACGAATTCTGTTTACACAACGTGTTACAGGAAGGAATTTACTAGCACTAAGGAATATACACTGCCGGTCAAAAGCCTATTCAAAAAGTGCATGCAAAAGTTAAGCCACCATTAAAAAAAGGCAACACTCACGATCTCGGGATTTACAGACCAATATCCTTACTATCTAGATTTTCAAAACTTATAGAAAAGCTTTTTAAGGATACACTCAAAATTTTCTCAATTAAAATAACATATTGGCAGAGGCCCAACATGGATTCAGAAATGGTAGATCTACAGACACAATTATTTTCTTTCTAAATGACATACTTGTTGCTCTAGATCAGAAAGAAATCCCCATCGGCTTGTCTCTAGATTAATGAAAAGCATTCGACATTATTGGCCATCACCTCCTGTTATCCAAGCTTGAAACCTTGGGAATTAGAGGTATTGAACATCAATGGGTAAAATTTTACCTTTCAAATCATTGCCAAGTACCATCAAGCATGTTATAGTTTAAAAGATTTCTACCCATTTTTCCGAACCTAGAATGATAAATTATGGAGTGCCACAAGGATTAATCCTAGGCACTATACTATTTCTCTTAAACTCTATTTGAAGATGACACAAACAATATTTTTAAAGCAAATACTCAACCAATTCTACAGAAAGGAGTACAAACTGTCCTAGACACACTAGTAAAATGGTTCCAAGAAAATAAACTTATCATAAACACCATGCCTGTAAAAGTAGCCCCAAAACCAACTTTCCTTGGATTGACTATTCAAGATGATCTAAAAATAAAACTTCCACATCACAGACCTAAACAACAAGTTTACCAAGTCATGTTATGCCACAAAATATTATTATTATTATTATTATTATTATTATTATTATTATTATTATTATTATTATTATTATTATTATTATTATTATTATTATTAATATTATTGATTTCAACTTAAACATTTTACTTTAAATATGTTTAAAAAAATCAGAAAATATGCGTGAAAAGTGCTTCATTGGCACCTGGTTTTTAATTGTTTATAGTTGAGTACAACATTTTTAATTGTGGTAGAAAATTAGTAGATAATGTTAGACTAGTTTATATTGAATTTATGAGAAGTGGGGGTGCAAACTTAATGTCAAGCTAGCACCCCCACTTTTGGATGTGTTTTTTTTTAATGTTTATAGTTGATTACAAAATTTTTAATTGTGGTAGAAAATTAGTGCATAATTAGTACAAAATTATAGGCTAGTTTATTTTGAATTTTGAACAAGTAGGGGTTGCAGCTTGACGGAGGTAGCCGAATATCCTATGTACCAATGGTCCCTCAGGGTTTCTTCATCGAGCACTGACTAATCAGCGATGCCTTTAGCTAGCTTTGTGGAGCTTATTGTCAAATCCAAATAAGATGACGCGGCTCCACGTTGAAAGGAGTACTCGTCCCCACTATTTAAGATGATCATATCATTTCTTGCAATGAATTCACATATGATAGTTCCTCTTCTATCGGAGCGTGTCTCTCCCCATTTACACGACTTACCATTGAAATCACTTGCCACTTATATATCGCACTTATACGTTTTCAAGGTAGCCTCCAGCTCATCAATATCATTCTGAAATTTTTCCAATGTATCATTCGGTGATTATCATTTTTATTTTTATTATTATAGTAATAAAAATAATTATTATTATTCACACACAATAATAATAATAATAATTATTATTATTATGTTTTTTTTCTTGACATACTGTATTTGGCATTGATAATGCAACCCAAACAGAGGACACTGAAATAGTCTTCGTCTCAATTTACCTTGTGTAGATAAACATTACTTAGGGATCCTTATATCCTCTCTGAAGAGTATTCATTAATGCAGTGTTAGGTGACTAGGAAAGCAACAGATTGCTGTTGTGTTCTATGGAGTTCGGACTGTAGGTACACCACGGTTTCTGGTTCATTGTGGTTAAGAATTGAAAAAATACCTCAAACACTGTAGTGTAACAAAATGAGTGCAGGTCTGCCCACAAAACTTGTTAACAGGCTCCCTTTATAAAAGTGTGTATTGAACACAAGTAGTGTACCTTAAATAATATAACTAACCTCTAAAAATAGGTCCTCTTGTAGATGGGACCGCCCATATGGCATGCCTGAACATTACACGACTACTCCAACAAATTAGTAATATAATTCATTGAAGCTATTTTTTGTGAGAAACAAATGAATAGGATGCAAAGAATCATCATGAAAGTTATTCTAGCAAGGGTGGCCTTTTTATGAAAAGACAGTTTAACAAATTTATTTATTAATTTAAAATGTTTCATTTGTGTGTGTGCGTGTATGTCTGTCTGAGTGTGTGTGTGTGTGTGTATATGAATGTTAATAATAACATATTAATAACATATTTGACACACACAGCACTCACAAAACACACACACACAGAAAAACACACACATAAACAGATTTTTGTAAAATTCAAGATATGAGGAAAATATGATAGTCAATGATCACTGTGTATAAGTGTACTATTACTCTCTCAATCTATTGTTGTCACAAGTGTGAAATTATTGGTAGTGTCAAAAACTTTTGACCGATATGTATATACATCCATTTTCTTCTTAGCTGTGTCGGACAAAGAAGTTTTCTAACGAAAACCAGTAGTTTTCTGGTGCACGATTTAATACTTTATCTTCTTATCAAATCAGGGCGAGAAAGTAAAAAAATGAAATGTAAACGAGATGAAAATGAGATATGACAAGAAGAATAAACATCACTTTAAAAAAAAACTGGAAATACATATAAATTTTTTATTAGACGTTTTATTGTCGATTAAAACAAACATATAAAGGTTGTGAAGTCATTTATTCATCAAAATTGAAGAAAGATGTAAAAATAAATACGCGAGTACTGTACTCTTTATTAATCAACAAAGGAGTTGCAATATATTTTATTTCTAACAATGTATACTATGATAATAATTTAATTTATTCTTAGGGGAAACTAGAATATCATGCAAATGACAATCACACAAATCAAGCCAACGAACAGTTTTTTGTCCATGGTACACAATACTACAAATACAATTTCAAAATTCATTTTACACAATTAAAGTTCAAAATATTGTAAACTATATTTTAAAAACAGTCTATCAATTTAACTTTTTGTAAGAATTCCTTTTGTGTGGGCAAAAACATTATTTTTTCAATAATAAAACTAAAATCCCGTGAAACAATTTTTGCTTTCTAATTATGCACTTAATAAAGACTAATTTACACTATACCAATTTGCACTTAAAAATCTCTGCAGACGATATAAAATTTCAGATACAGTCAACCTCATATATACAGAATACTAAAAATATAAGACAAGTCAATAATTATTCATCATCCATTTCTATACTCTGAATTTCAGTTATGCACATCATACATTGTATTTATTGAAAATTTTACCAGATTCCAAACTAGATCCTCAGAGAATTTTGGAAAGGTGGTGGGTAATTTAAATTAGGGCATCCACCTCAAATATTTCTCAAATAATTTTTTAAAAAATTGTATACTGAAATATAAAAATAAGGAATGAATTCATAATGGAAATATTCCTCTGAAACATGACAAACCCAAACTGTTTCGTATAAATTGGTTAAAATTTCAAAAACATTAAGAAAACAATCACAGTTTTACCAGGAACATGATAGAGAAATTTTTTAATAGAAATAATTTTCAATAAATTTTTTATATTTTCAATCATTTTACATATTAATAAGAAAATTATAGGACAGTCCCTGTTATAGGTTGCAGCACCAAGTATATATAAATTGCAAATTTTCCTGAACACTAATCTCAAACTTTTGTTAGCACTACACACCGTCTTGGAGCCTAAGGATTTCTATTAGAATTTTTAATTTTCTTCATCTAACTCTTCTATTGGTCACAATGGTGTTTCGTGGCTTGAAGTTGATGCCGATCTTCTGCCTATCTTCTTCAACATTTGCACTCTGAGTAAAGTCAACTACCTTTTCTACAACTGCTCCATAACTCAATTCTTATATTTTAACAATACTTAATACTTCCCAGTTTAAATTCACAAAAAGAAAGAATTTTTAGTAGTTTCTTTTCAAAAAGATTTATTGTTTGTAGCATGACCTTTATGTCTGTCATTCCATAACAATGCAAATATCACACAACTTTCACTTTCTCACCCCTTTATCAAATTGCCTGTGGAACAATATATCTAGTGGCATTAATCTTCTTTTACTATTCAAATCAATACAAATATCTATGAGACAATTATTGACTTGCCCCAAAAAATAACAATCATTGCACTCTCATGTTTTCGATCACTTACATATTAACTTCACATATACCACATACAAGGAACAAAAGGTTGGCATCGTATGACATTATTTGAGAAGTAGCAAATATGATAGAGAGAGGAAAAGTAAATAAATAAATCTAATAACTAAAAATTAAGTGTATTCTTCCACTTTAGTGCATTTTGTAAGTATTGAACTTCCCTTGGCTGTAAACCAAAAGATAATAATCACTTCACACATACTCACCACTTTCAGAGAGAAACGTGTAGGTTCTTTTTGTTTTTATTAATTTTGGTACAATATTTATTTAGAAAAATTACATTAAAAGACAAAATAAACAGCTATTTCAATTCATCAATTCTTTCTAGAGATAGGATTGAAACAAAACAACCCTCTTTTTCATATCAAACACTTTAAAGAATACAAAGATTCAGAATTACTTTCTTCGTTTTCATTCAACTGAAAGGTTGTTTTCAGTAGATTAGATCTTTAAGATTTCAGTAAAAACAGGTTTAAAGAAATATTTATGTTATTGAAGACACTGGAAAGAAGACACTAATAAAATCAGACCTCTCAACTCTCCTATTCTTTGCATGCTAAATGCATTTCAAGTTGATTCTAAATTCAACTAGGAGCATGACAAGTGTAGTGTCTTAAAGAACAACATTGTGCAGCGCCAGAAATTATAACCAATTACTTGTAGTTATAAATGTTGATCCTTTCTACAAGCAATACCCTCAATGAATTTCAGGATGAATATTAGCAGCACAGTTACTTAGAAGAATTATTTAATTACCATAAAGCAATATAAAGGAATTTAGAGGGGTCTGTATAATGTATGCTCGATGTTAAACTGCCAAATTCATGGAAGACAGATAGCTCTTGGTTAGGAAATTAAATATTAATATAAAAAATACACTTGGTCATGTTGGTCATTTCCAGCACACAGTTCACTCAACCTACATCCAACAAACTATTTACAATTTGCATCCATAACTACATGAAAGTAATACTGTCTTGGAAGCGTGCAAGAAAGAAAAGAACTGCTACTCCTATAAGAAGACCAATGTTCTGCAAAGCTAATGTCTTCACAGCTGTCTTCACACTTATTTTACTGGCATCTTCAGCAGCACGATTTAGTTCAGGCATCTGAAACAAACCATATATTCTTGTCAAAGTTAATTATGAAAAAGCACACTTAAAAATTTGCATAAGCTACAAGATTTTGCTTAGAAAGTACTTGTAAACATAATATTGTGAAATAATGGTGGAAATGAGTTATGCATGGTCTAGGTTTGATGACCTAAAATATTTCAATAATGGCCAATAAATTTTGATGAAAATGTTAAATGCCTCCTTTAAACCGCCCATATATACATTGCCCAAAGAATTTAAAACTGAAATAAACAGAAAAAAAATAGGATAACACAACTCTATTTACCCATGAAACCAATACTCTGTTCCATTTTCCCAGAAACACTATCCAACAATGAGAAGTTATTCTGAGAATTTCAATTGTTCATGTTCCTATTGTTTTATTGAAAACTGACAACTCCTGAAAGATTCTAGCAAAAGAAATGCATGAAATTGGAATTCGCATATTCAGAAATGCAAAAATTACATGATACTGCTCATATTTTAAAAAAAATGTATGACTATTTAAAAAAATAATTTTTAAAGAATAACATTTCATTAAGTAAAAAAATCACAATCTACAATATTGTACTATTGTAATGTCAATTTCTTTGGAAAATGAGACAAACACCACTATTTATATCATCTTTTGACACGTATGTACAAGAAAAAATTTAAAGAAAAAATTGAGCTGTATTTAAGAATATGATTATTAAAAATTCGTCCGTATTTCACGCAAAACTACGCTAAAACTACTCACACTTTTTGAAAATTGTACATGACATTTATTTTAAGATGACTTTGAATACCAGATGTCATAAAGCAAACTAGTGGTTTTAAAACAGCACATACCATCTCGACAGTATTTACACGCAAAATTATGCGAAAAGTACTCAGATTATTAACAAATTGTACATGAACTTATGTTAAAATCTAGCTTTAAGAAACATATTTCATTAAGAGAAAAACTCTCTATCTTGAATATTTTAGATATAGGAAGTCTCTGAAAAAAATTAACTTTGGCAATTTACAAAAAATCAGGATTTTTAACACGAGACCTCCACCATTTTCTTAAACGTCCTTCACGAACGGACGGGAGAGACGGACGGACGGAGTCAGTCAGTCAGTCAGTCAGTCAGTCAGTCAGTCAGTCAGTCAGTCAGTCAGTCAGTCAGTCAG